CCCTATCGCACTGTAAGAAAAGCTGCAGGTCATCTATCCAGACGTCAAAGTCAATGGCCCGACCCTCAGCGTCAAAAGCGAGGACACTAGGGGTAGCCATGACAGCAGTAGACTAGCAGCGCAAACAGTGGGGTGAGGGCAGTGCTGTGAGAGAGGCGCTGCTCTTACCGGACAGGGCGGCTCGGGCGGCTCGGCTGCAGGGCGGCTCGGCGACTCGGCTGCTGGGCGGCTCGGCTGCTGGGCGGCTCGGCGGCTCGGCTGCTGGGCGGCTCAGCGACTCGGCTGCTGGGCGGCTCGGCGGCTCTGCTGCTGGGCGGCTCGGCTGCTGGGCGGCTCGGCGGCTCGGCTGCTGGGCGGCTCGGTGGCTCAGCTGCTGGGCGGCTAGGCTGCTGGGCGGCTAGGCTGCTGGGCGGCTCGGCGGGGCCGCTGAGAGGGCGGCGTCCGGGGCCGCTGGGAGGAGGCGGCGGGGCCGCTGAGAGGAGGCGGCGGGGCCACTGAGAGGAGGCGGCGGGGCCGGAAAGGTAGGTGGCGGGGCCGCGTCAGGGGCCGCGACAGGGGCCGCGTCAGGGGCCGCGTCAGGGGCCGCGGCAGGGGCCGCGTCAGGGGCCGCGGCAGGGCCGCGTCAGGGCGCCGCGTCAGGGGCCGCGTCAGGGCGCCGCCAGGGGCCGCGGCAGGGCCGCGTCAGGGCCGCGTAAGGGGCCGCGGCAGGGGCCGCGTCAGGGGCCGCGTCAGGGCCGCGGCAGAGCCGCGGCAGAGCCGCGTCAGGGCCGCGTCAGGGGCCGCTTCAGGGCCGCGGCAGGGGCCGCAGCAGGCCGCGTCAGGACCGCGTCAGGGGCCGCGGCAGGGCCGCGTCAGGGCCGCGGCAGTGGCCGCGTCAGGGCGCCGCGTCAGGGGCCGCGTCAGGGCGCCGCCAGGGACCGCGGCAGGGCCGCGTCAGGGCCGCGTCAGGGCCGCGTCAGGGGCCGCTTCAGGGCCGCGGCAGGGGCCGCGGCAGGCCGCGTCAGGGCCGCGTCAGGGGCCGCGGCAGGGCCGCGTCAGGGCCGCGGCAGGGGCCGCGTCAGGGCGCCGCCAGGGGCCGCGTCAGGCCGCGTCAGGGCCGCGTCAGGCGCCGCCAGGGGCCGCGTCAGGGCGCCACCAGGGGGCGCGTCAGGGGCCGCGATAGGGCGCCGGCAGGGGCCTCGTCAGGGCGCCGCCAGGGGCCGCATAGGGGGGCGCGTGGGAGGCGGCGTAGGGGCCGCGTAGGGGCAGCGTAGGGGCCGCTAAAAAAAAAAAATTAGGGCAGGGCGCAATGTGCGCGGGCAGCTAAAAAAAAAATTCTTATGGTGGGCCCTTAGGAAGGAACGGTCCCATGTAGGAACCCGCTCTATACCATGTGAATCAAGAAAACAGGAATGGATGAACTATGAATGAATTGAGTACAAGTACTAACCCTAATTGGGCTGTACCCCTTATGGAGTACCCCACTATAGCCTACACAATATGCATGAGCTATGATGTTCTGACATATCCTTGCACAGTTTCGGGCCATCAAACGCACAAACAAGCGCAACGTGCGGCGTAGTTGTGCGAATGAGGTCAAACCACTTCCTATGGCAAGGTAATTAATTGAAATTCCTGAATTTGTGAAGAAATGGTGATAAAAAAAACAACCACACGTTGAAACGGTGACATGTTGCGTACTGGCCTATCCTTGCACAGTTTCGGGCCATCGAACGCACAAACAAGCGTCACGTGCTGCGTAGTTGTGCGAATTAACTCAAACCAGTTCCTATGGCAAGGTAATTGATTGAATTACCTGAATGTGTGAAGAAATGGTGCTAGAAAAAACAACCAGACGATGAAACGGTGACATGTTGCGTACTACCTATCATTGCGCAGTTTCAGGCCATCAAACGCACAAACAAGCGTCACGTGCTGCGTAGTTGTGCGAATTAACTCAAACCAGTTCCTATGGCAAGGTAATTGATTGAACTACTTGAATGAGTGAAGGAATGGTGCTAAAAAAAACAACCAGATGATGAAACTGTGACATGTTGCGTACTACCTATCCTTGCACAGTTTCAGGCCATCAAACGCACAAACACGCGTCACGTGCTGCGTAGTTGTGCGAATTAACTCAAACCAGTTCCTATGGCAAGGTAATGGATTGAAGTACCTGAATGTGTGAAGAAATGGTGCTAAAAAAAACAACCAGATGATGAAACGGTGACATGTTGCGTACTACCTATCCTTGCACAGTTTCAGGCCATCAAACGCACAAGCGTCACGTGCTGCGTAGTTGTGCGAATTAACTCAAACCAGTTTCTATGGCAAGTTAATTGATTGAATTACCTGAATGTGTGAAGAAATGGTGCTAAAAAAAACAACCAGACGATGAAACGGTGACATGTTGCGTACTACCTATCCTTGCACAGGTTCAGGCCATCAAACGCACAAACAAGCGTCACGTGCTGCGTAGTTGTGCGAATTAACTCAAACCAGTTCCTATGGCAAGGTAATTGATTGAACTACCTGAATGTGTGAAGAAATGGTGCTAAAAAAATAAACCAAACGACGAAACGGTGACATGTTGCGTACTGGCCCATCCTTCATCAGTTTCGGGCCATCGAACGTTGCGATGTATATTCAGAGGTAACATGCATACGATAATTATTTGATACTACCCTAGCAAATAGTAGGGTGATTGTGAGTGTTTGAAGGGATTAGCAACAATACTTTCACATACATTTACGAATCTAAACAGAAGTAAATATGTATTCAACAGTTTCAGTTCTAACAGTCGATTCGAATCATATCGCGAATCTAAAATCACGCGCCATGAGATGACGTGGCAAACGAAAATCGTGACCACGGGAAGACCTTCACAGTTATCCACAGCATTCCGCAGCATTCCGCAGCTCTCTACCCGAGCGAGCCGCCCCGTCAGGCAACGTCAGGTTCCTGCCAGTAAACTGCCAAGTTCTTCCAGCCTCAAACCTGCCCATTTCCCCTGAAATTCGCGATCCCAGACAATCACGGAAATCACCCACAACAGACAAAAACCGCCAGTTTACCCCCGCGTCCTAAGTCACAACCCTTCCCTCACAGTAAACGGCCAATTACAGGGCGCTCGACAACCCAAAAAAAAAGCTAAGTACTCGTCCCCCGGTTTTCGGCAGAACGACATTTTTCTGATGGGGTTAAGAGACAAGGCAAGCCAGGCGAAGCTCTTACTTCCGAAACCCATTCTGGTTTGAAAATAGAACCGGAGCCGGGATCCGCGCAATTGACGCGCGTCGAATGCTACTAGCAGTTGTTTAGTAGCTACAAGAAGTATTGACTTCTCAACTGGTTTTGGGAAGCAGCAGGAATGATGCAGCGTGCTCGTTTCGACTGGGGATTGAACAAGGATCACGATGGAAAATATGTGATTACGGAGGGCGAACTGTAATGTACCACAATTACCACGTCAAATTACTCAATCAGCCTTGGCTACCCACGATGGTATGCTCAAAATGGGCACAGCTTCTCCGTACACGCGATGCCTGTCGCAGGTCAGGTGCCTTGCTGCTCTTTGTAGGTCAAGCCGAACCACAGGCTAGGCTTGGCGTGGGTTTGGTTGGGCCAAGGGCGCTTCTGTTGTTGGTGGGGTACTGGTTCCGTACCAGACGAGACAGGCAAGGGGAAATGCCTTCTGTAAAGTGATCGTCACCATGGAAGGGAGCAATTAGGGCAGCGACAGCCTTGCCGAAAAAAACATTAACCCCACTCCCATCTGATTGGAATTCTGCTGGCTCCTGAGGCATCAATGAAAAACAGCTCAAACAAATAGCTCAATAGAGCACCCTTTCTGTAGGGTTGACGCCTCCTAGAGTCCCATCCCATGCCCGGTCCTTTCCCAAGTATTTTTGCATCTCCCTGGGCAAAGTTGGATGTGCGCCGAATCGAATCGAAAGATCCGCCCGCACGGAGAGAAACCTCAGGTGGTAGCCATGACTGTAGAAACATGTTTTGAAGGCGTGCTGCTTTGAACCATGCTACACCGTACATCACCATGAACGACCTTGCTCATGATTGAACCAGGAAATACAGCAATGCCCTCCGTCTCTGTGATTATTCGTCAGTTTAGGCAACAGGGTAGGTAAGGTATGGACGTATAGTATTCCTCATGAGTTAGTTCCCTTGACTTGCTCATTTACTTCCTGTGTTCACCATTCCCTTGACTGCTGCATTCAGTCATTCGTTCTTTCGGTGACGTGCTTCCTTGATGGACGGGAGGTGCTCGGTTGCTCGTGCATTTTGTCACGTCGATTTCTTAGAACCCTCAAAATCGCCTGCCGCGTCCATTGTGTCATTTCGTCGTAACCTACGTAACTTGACGCCGCCACGTGGTTAGTCGTAGTGCTAGTGTCGTTTCCAGATTTAATCGTTTACTGGCAACACCTAACAGCTAGGAACCCTAGCATTTTCATGTTTTTCGTCAGCTGCTCACAGCCGTTTGATCTGCGCAGATTCTCCTTGCACCGTTTGATATAGCTGCATCAAACACTTAAGACCGCACACTAGGAAGGCAGGTGGTTTTATCCTCGGTCATATTTCCTTAGGCGCCTCAAGTTTTGTCCTCGTTATGTCCGCTTCGGAAGCGGCGGTGCATTTGGAAGGGGGGACGGAAGGTGGAAGGATAATGAAGAATTCCGAGATCAGCCGTTCTGTCTCGTCGAGCATGAAAGCCGACGACGCAGGGCGTGACGATGACGTGGCAAGACATAAGATGCGACTTAAGTCGGCATCGTTCAACGGAAGAGATTCCTTTCGAGAACTCACCGCAAGGCAACGCGTGGCAGGACACGTGACAGGACACGTGACAGGACACGCGGCAGGACACGCGGGAGCACCGCCTGGTTTTGCAGCCGGTGGCGAGACATGCGAGCCATGTAGTGGGGATGAATCAATGGCAACAATGGCTATCATCTCTGAATGCACCCCATGGGACGACGCTGCTGCTCGTGCTGCTGCTGCTACTAATGCCGCTTCCAATGCTGCTTCTGCTGCTGCTGCTGCTGCTGCTGCTGCTGCTGCTGCTGCTGCTGCTGCTGCTGCTGCTGCTGCTGCTGCTGCTGCTGCTGCTGCTGCTGCTGCTGCTGCTGCTGCTGCTGCTGCTGCTGTTGTCGCTGATTCAGCAGCAGTTCCCGCTACCTGCACCGATGCTGTTTATATCGCAGCCGGCAAGCCCGAGCAAAGAGAAGATGACCCCATAGCTAGTAATAGTAACAGCGAGGCTGCATCTATAGCGGATCATGGTTCGATTCGTGTCAGCAACGCGAGTGACCCTAACCCACCTACCCTTAACCCAGCAGCAGCAACGACGCTACGTGCTTCACCAGCAAAGCCATTGCGCACCCCACCAGCAGCAGCAGCAACAGCAGCAGCAGCAGCAGCAACAGCAGCAGCAGCAGCAGCAGCAGCAGCAGCAGCAGCAGCAGCAGCAGCAGCAGCAGCAGCAGCAGCAGCAGCAGCAGCAGCAGCAGCAGCAGCAGCAGCAGCAGCAGCAGCAGCAGCAGCAGCAGCAGCAGCACCGACATTACGTAACCCTAACCCGACTGACCCCATGTCAGCGGTTACACCAGTTACTCCATTAAAGTCCCACAGCCCTATAGTCACAGGTGATTATGCTGACCGCAGCAGCCCCATGCACACAGAGAGTTGCGGAAATGGCTCTATACTGATGCCTGAACCTTCCGCCGATTCCCCTTCTTCCGCCCTCAAACCCTCTTCTTCCGCCTCGCCTTCCGCCTCCGCCTCCGCCTCCGCATGCGCCCCCGCGCCTGCTCCCCCTGCGCGGAACGGTCTCGTTCTCCCCGGGCGCGCCTCTCTAGACACTCTTCAGGCCTCCCCCGCTCCCCCGCTCGCGCTGGCCAACCCCCGCCGAGTCTTCGCGCGGAGAAGCGCGAGCAGCGGGGAAAACCCCCCGGGGCTGTCCCTGATCAACCGCCGAACCGCAGCTGCAGGCTCGGGGCGAGGCTTGGCGAGCAGGCGCGAGGTGCCGGGGCTGAACAGGCCTGGGAGGGGGCCGGGGGGGTTTAAACTAGATATGGGCGCGCTTCAGCGGAGCAGGGGGGAGCGGGATTTCGCGCGGGAGGCGCAGGAGGCGCAGGCTAGGCGGGATAAATTCGCGTTTTTCGAGAAGGACTGTAGCAGAGTCTTGGAGCATGTATATGTGGGGAGCGACTTTGTAGCGAGAAGCAGGGAGGTTCTTAAGGAGGCTGGGATCACGCACGTGCTGAACTGCGTGGGGTTTGTGTGCCCCGAGTATTTTCCCGAAGAGATTAACTACAAGACGCTCTGGCTGCAGGTGAGGTTACTAGTTCTCTGGCTGCGGCTGGGAGATGCTGCTACATTGTTTATAAATGTGCGTGCGTCCGCACGCACGCTTGCATCCCCCCCCTTCCTCCCCCCCACCCCCGCACACTCACACACGCACACACACACACACCTATCCCTTCCCTCCCTCTTTCCCGGGCGAGGACCTAGTGTGCGCCTTATACGATGCGTTTGATTACACTGAGGTCGTGCGGGCGGGTGAAGGGGTTGTTCACTGCACACCTCCCCACCTCTCCCTTTCCCCGCTCCACCCATTCCCATCCCTCTCCATCCCTCTCCATCCCTCTCCATCCCTCTCCTCTCCCTTCCCCCTATCAGGACAACACGGGCGAGGACCTGGTGTGCGCCTTATACGACGTGTTTGATTACATTGAAGAGGTGCGGGTGGGTGACTGCTAATCACTGCACACCTCCCCACCTCTCCCTTTCCCGGTTCCACCCATTCCCATCCCTCCTCACCCCTCTCCCTCAGGACAACACGGGCGAGGACCTGGTGTGCGTGTTATACGACGTGTTTGATTACATCGAGGCCGTGAGGGAAGGTGACTGCCAACACTGCACACCCCGCACCTCTCCCTTCCCCCTATCAGGACAACACGGGCGAGGACCTGGTGTGCGTCTTATACGATGTGTTTGATTACATTGAGGCCGTGCGGGCAGCGAGGGGCCGGGTGTTCATCCACTGCTGCCAGGGCATCTCGCGCTCCACGTCCCTTGTCATTGCATACCTCATGTGGCGCGAGGTGGGTGATTGGATTGGAAGCACGTTTGGGTGATTGGATTGGAAGCACTGGGTAATGGGCACGTTTGGGTTGCATTGGGTGCATCGTGTCGTGTCACCTCGCGTCGCGGGCGGGCGGTGCCAGGTCAGGTGTTGTTCATCCACTGCTGCCAGTGCCAGGGCATCTCGCACTCCGCGCTGACTTTTGAGTCGACTCAAAAGAAGTCACCAGGGCATCTCGCACGCACTCCACGTCGCTCGTGATTGCATACCTCATGTGGCGCGAGGTGGGTGGGAGGGGTGGTGACACAGTGGGGTGGGTGTAACGGGATTGCTCCACTCCACATCTCCCCACCCCCACAGGGAACTTCCTTGGGAAACGTGTTCGAGAGAGTCAAGGCGCTGAGAGCTGTAGCCAACCCCAACATGGGGTTCACATTCATGCGCCCCTCCACCGCTCTCAACCCCCTCCCACCCCTTCCGACCCTCCTCCCCTCCCCCACAGGGCATTCCCTTTGGACACGCGTTCAAGAGAGTGAAGGCGCTGAGAGCCGTGGCCAGCCCGAACATGGGGTTCGCCTGCCAGCTGCTGCTGCTCCTGCTGCCACCGCTCTCAACCCCCTCCCACCCTCCCCTCCCCACAGGGCATTCCCTTTGGACACGCGTTCAAGAGTGAAGGCGCTGAGAGCCGTGGCCAACCCGAACATGGGGTTCGCCTGCCAGGTGCTGCTGCTCCTGCTGCCACGGCTCTCAACCCCCTCCCACCCTCCCCTCCCCACAGGGCATTCCCTTTGGAGACGCGCTCAAGAGAGTGAAGGCGCTGAGAGCCGTGGCCAACCCGAACATGGGGTTCGCCTGCCAGCTGCTGCTGCTCCTGCTGCCACCGCTCTCAACCCCCTCCCACCCTCCCCTCCCCACAGGGCATTCCCTTTGGAGACGCACTCAAGAGAGTGAAGGCGCTGAGAGCCGTGGCCAACCCGAACATGGGGTTCGCCTGCCAGCTGCTGCTGCTCCTGCTGCCACCACTCTCAACCCCCTCCCACCCTCCCCTCCCCACAGGGCATTCCCTTTGGAGACGCGCTCAAGAGAGTGAAGGCGCTGAGAGCCGTGGCCAACCCGAACATGGGGTTCGCCTGCCAGCTGCTGCTGCCACCGCTCTCAACCCCCTCCCACTCTCCCCTCCCCACAGGGCATTCCCTTTGGAGACGTGCTCAAGAGAGTGAAGGCGCTGAGAGCCGTGGCCAACCCGAACATGGGGTTCGCCTGCCAGCTGCTGCTGCTCCTGCTGCCACCGCTCTCAACCCCCTCCCACCCTCCCCTCCCCACAGGGCATTCCCTTTGGAGACGCGCTCAAGAGAGTGAAGGCGCTGAGAGCCGTGGCCAACCCGAACATGGGGTTCGCCTGCCAGCTGCTGCTGCTCCTGCTGCCACCACTCTCAACCCCCTCCCACCCTCCCCTCCCCACAGGGCATTCCCTTTGGAGACGCGCTCAAGAGAGTGAAGGCGCTGAGAGCCGTGGCCAACCCGAACATGGGGTTCGCCTGCCAGCTGCTGCTGCCACCGCTCTCAACCCCCTCCCACCCTCCCCTCCCCACAGGGCATTCCCTTTGGAGACGTGCTCAAGAGAGTGAAGGCGCTGAGAGCCGTGGCCAACCCGAACATGTGGTTCGCCTGCCAGCTGCTGCTGCTCCTGCTGCCACCGCTCTCAACCCCCTCCCACCCTCCCCTCCCCACAGGGCATTCCCTTTGGAGACGCGCTCAAGAGAGTGAAGGAGCTGAGAGCGGTGGCCAACCCGAACACGGGGTTCGCCTGCCAGCTGCTGCTGCTCCTGCTGCCACGGCTCTCAACCCCCTCCCACCCTCCCCTCCCCACAGGGCATTCCCTTTGGAGACGCGCTCAAGAGAGTGAAGGCGCTGAGAGCCGTGGCCAACCCGAACATGGGGTTCGCCTGCCAGCTGCTGCTGCTCCTGCTGCCACCGCTCTCAACCCCCTCCCACCCTCCCCTCCCCACAGGGCATTCCCTTTGGACACGCGCTCAAGAGAGTGAAGGCGCTGAGAGCCGTTGCCAACCCGAACATGGGGTTCGCCTGCCAGCTGCTGCTGCTCCCCCTGCCACCGCTCTCAACCCCCTCCCAACAACACGACACCTGGTCAGGTGTTGTTCATCCACTGCTGCCAGTGCCAGGGCATCTCGCACTCCGCGCTGACTTTTGAGTCGACTCAAAAGAAGTCACCAGGGCATCTCGCACGCACTCCACGTCGCTCGTGATTGCATACCTCATGTGGCGCGAGGTGGGTGGGAGGGGTGGTGACACAGTGGGGTGGGTGTAACGGGATTGCTCAACTCCACATCTCCCCACCCCCACAGGGAACTTCCTTGGGAAACGTGTTCGAGAGAGTCAAGGCGCTGAGAGCTGTAGCCAACCCCAACATGGGGTTCACAATCATGCGCCCCTCCACCGCTCTCAACCCCCTCCCACCCCTTCCGACCCTCCTCCCCTCCCCCACAGGGCATTCCCTTTGGACACGCGTTCAAGAGAGTGAAGGCGCTGAGAGCCGTGGCCAGCCCGAACATGGGGTTCGCCTGCCAGCTGCTGCTGCTCCTGCTGCCACCGCTCTCAACCCCCTCCCACCCTCCCCTCCCCACAGGGCATTCCCTTTGGACACGCGTTCAAGAGTGAAGGCGCTGAGAGCCGTGGCCAACCCGAACATGGGGTTCGCCTGCCAGGTGCTGCTGCTCCTGCTGCCACGGCTCTCAACCCCCTCCCACCCTCCCCTCCCCACAGGGCATTCCCTTTGGAGACGCGCTCAAGAGAGTGAAGGCGCTGAGAGCCGTGGCCAACCCGAACATGGGGTTCGCCTGCCAGCTGCTGCTGCTCCTGCTGCCACCGCTCTCAACCCCCTCCCACCCTCCCCTCCCCACAGGGCATTCCCTTTGGAGACGCGCTCAAGAGAGTGAAGGCGCTGAGAGCCGTGGCCAACCCGAACATGGGGTTCGCCTGCCAGCTGCTGCTGCTCCTGCTGCCACCACTCTCAACCCCCTCCCACCCTCCCCTCCCCACAGGGCATTCCCTTTGGAGACGCGCTCAAGAGAGTGAAGGCGCTGAGAGCCGTGGCCAACCCGAACATGGGGTTCGCCTGCCAGCTGCTGCTGCTCCTGCTGCCACCGCTCTCAACCCCCTCCCACCCTCCCCTCCCCACAGGGCATTCCCTTTGGAGACGCGCTCAAGAGAGTGAAGGCGCTGAGAGCCATGGCCAACCCAAACATGGGGTTCGCCTGCCAGCTGCTGCTGCTCCTGCTGCCACCGCTCTCAACCCCCTCCCACCCTCCCCTCCCCACAGGGCATTCCCTTTGGAGACGCGCTCAAGAGAGTGAAGGCGCTGAGAGCCGTGGCCAACCCAAACATGGGGTTCGCCTGCCAGCTGCTGCTGCTCCTGCTGCCACCGCTCTCAACCCCCTCCCACCCTCCCCTCCCCACAGGGCATTCCCTTTGGAGACGCGTTCAAGAGATTGAAGGCGCTGAGAGCCGTGGCCAACCCGAACATGGGGTTCGCCTGCCAGCTGCTGCTGCTCCTGCTGCCACCGCTCTCAACCCCCTCCCACCCTCCCCTCCCCACAGGGCATTCCCTTTGGAGACGTGTTCAAGAGAGTGAAGGCGCTGAGAGCCGTGGCCAACCCAAACATGGGGTTCGCCTGCCAGCTGCTGCTGCTCCTGCTGCCACGGCTCTCAACCCCCTCCCACCCTCCCCTCCCCACAGGGCATTCCCTTTGGAGACGCGTTCAAGAGATTGAAGGCGCTGAGAGCCGTGGCCAACCCGAACATGGGGTTCGCCTGCCAGCTGCTGCTGCTCCTGCTGCCACCGCTCTCAACCCCCTCCCACCCTCCCCTCCCCACAGGGCATTCCCTTTGGAGACGTGCTCAAGAGAGTGAAGGCGCTGAGAGCCGTGGCCAACCCAAACATGGGGTTCGCCTGCCAGCTGCTGCTGCTCCTGCTGCCACGGCTCTCAACCCCCTCCCACCCTCCCCTCCCCACAGGGCATTCCCTTTGGAGACGCGTTCAAGAGATTGAAGGCGCTGAGAGCCGTGGCCAACCCGAACATGGGGTTCGCCTGCCAGCTGCTGCTGCTCCTGCTGCCACCGCTCTCAACCCCCTCCCACCCTCCCCTCCCCACAGGGCATTCCCTTTGGAGACGTGCTCAAGAGAGTGAAGGCGCTGAGAGCCGTGGCCAACCCGAACATGGGGTTCGCCTGCCAGCTGCTGCTGCTCCTGCTGCCACCGCTCTCAACCCCCTCCCACCCTCCCCTCCCCACAGGGCATTCCCTTTGGAGACGCGCTCAAGAGAGTGAAGGCGCTGAGAGCCGTGGCCAACCCGAACATGGGGTTCGCCTGCCAGCTGCTGCTGCTCCTGCTGCCACCGCTCTCAACCCCCTCCCACCCTCCCCTCCCCACAGGGCATTCCCTTTGGAGACGCGTTCAAGCGGGTGAAGGCGCTGAGGGCTGTAGCCAACCCCAACATGGGGTTCGCCTGCCAGCTGCTGCAGTGGCAGACTCGCATCCTCCCCGCCTCCGCCCTGGATCCGCCCCCCACGCCTCAACCTTCTGCTCGTCCCCCTGCTGCTCCTGCTCCTGATGCTTCTGATGCGTCTGCTGCTTCCGCTACTTGTGGCGCCGGTGGTGCTGCTGAGGCAGAAGCAGCAGCAGCAGCAGCAGCAGCAGCATCAGGAGGAAAATTGCTGGCAGCGAGGGCCACAGGTGGTGGTGATGACACAGCAGGGCAGGGAGCAGCAGCAGCAGCAGCAGCACTGCATGTACCGCAACAGCCAGCACAGCCGTCAGTAGCAGAACCAGCACTGACATCAGGGGCGGCCATGGAATCAGGGGTGGCAGAGGCGTCAGGGGCGGCGGGCAGCTGTCACATGTACCGCATGGCGCCGCACTCGCCTTACGACGCTCTGCACTTGGTGCCAAAAATCACCGCCCTCTCCCGCCACTCCCTGGACCCACGAGGGGCCTTCATTGTGCAGGTGAGTTTTGAGTGAGTGACTCTCAGCCAACTCTCACAGCGAAGGCTCACAAGAACACTGCCTCATTTTTTTTTTTTTTTTTTATATATATATATATTTTTCACTTCTCGTTACATTACAATGTACTACTGGTGTGTAGAATAATGTCCTCCTCTTGTGGTGCTCCCCTTATCCCTTTCCCTTTTCACCCTCCCTCCTTTCCCCCTTCCCTTCCCCCCTCCCATTCCCCCTCTCGTGTCCCCTCCCCTCTTCCCCTCCGCGTCTTGCCTCACGATACGTGTAGTGGTTGCTGGTGGGGCAGGGGATACCTGCCTTTGTCTCTCTCTTACCCCCCCCCCTGTCCCCCATCCCTTCATTTCTCCCTCCGCTCTCCCCCTCCCTGTCTTGCCTCACTCCCAGATACAGACAAAGGTGTACCGCTGGCTGCAGAGAGAGTGCTACCCTCTCATCACCTCCTTTTATCCCCCTTCCCTTTCCTCCCTCTTCTAATCCTCCCTCTCCCCATCTTGTCTCACGCTCAGATACGGACAAAAGTGTACTGTTGGCGGGGCAGGGAGTGCTACCCGCTCATGGCCAAGCAGGCCCTCGCAGCTGCCGCCCAGATCATCAAGTACGAACGCCTGGGGGAGGTGGCATCTGCAGGCTGGGAGGTGGCATCTGCAGGCGGGGAGGTGGCATCTGCAGGCAGGGAAGTGGCATCTGCTGGTGGTGGGGAGGTGGTATCTGCAGGAGGGGAGGTGGCATTTGGGGAAGGTGGGTCCTGTGAGCAGGGATTGCAGGTGGCGGGCGAATCAGTGGCAAGAAACGAAGGGCAAGAAGCCTCAGTAGTGGATGAGACACAACTGCAACAGAAACAGCAACAGCAACAACAACAGCAACAACAACAGCAACAGCAACAGCAACAGCAACAGCAACAGCAACAGAAACAGCAACAGCAACAGCAACAGCAACAGCAACAGCAACAGAAACAGCAACAGCAACAGCAACAGCAACAGCAACAGCAACAGCAACAGCAACAGCAACAACAACAACAACAACAACAGTCACAACAATTGTCACAGCAGGAGGAACAGCAACAGCAGCAGCGGCAAGAACAAGAACAGTCAGAACAACAGCGGCAACGGCAGCAGCAGCAGCCACAGTCACTCCCACGGCCAGAGTCACGTGTACAGTCACAACCGCTGACATCACACTTGTTTTTGTCACCACTCCCACTGCCACCACTGGCACACTCATTACCACTGCTGGCACAAGCACCGCTGCCTCAATCTGCCCCTATTCCTGTTCTGCAAGGAAGGGAAACCCCTGAGTTGCTAGCAGCCCTAGCACAACCACCGTCCCCACTTCCACTGCTATCACAAGCACCACTGCCTCAATCTGCCCCCATTCCCGTTCTGCAAGGAAGGGAACCCCCGGAGTTACTAGCAGCACTAGATGCTGCCGATTCAGCAGCAGCCGCAGCAGCAGAGGGAGGGGAAGGAGGGGGAGGAGGGGACGGGGGAGGAGGAGGAGTGGGGAGGTATGTGATGGGGAGAACCCAAGCAAAGATAGAGGCTCAAATGCAGGCGGTTAGGAAACAGGGGTTGACGTATCTCGGGCAGGATGCGAATCTTTTGAGCTGCCCGGAGCAGGGAAGAGGTTCAGTGCCGAGTGGAGGGATCGGGGCAGAAAATGGATGTGCTAGTAGCAGTGGGGACAGTACCGAGGGATGCGAGAAGAATGGGGGGCGTGATAGTACTGAGGGATGTGAGAAGATGGGGGCGTGTGATAGTAACGAAGGGTGTTCAGCTTCTGGAAAAGGTGAAGCAGCGAATCAGAGCATGAGGGAAGGAAACGGATGTGATGTTATTGAAGGGAACAGAGGCAGAGAGAAAGGGGGAGGGGAGGAAGCGCGTGGGTTCAATAGTGCCGGGCCGTCAATTGAGGAGGTTCGAGAATCCTCCGTGGTCAATGGTGGTGGGGCGATGGAGGAGGGCAGAGGGAGTAGAGAAGGGTTGCGTGTTGCTAGTGGTAGTGGGGTCGAATTGAAGGTTGAGACATCTCGGGGATCCTCCTCCTCCTCCTCCTCCTCCTCCTCCTCCTCCTCCTCCTCCTCCTCCTCCTCCTCCTCCTCCTCCTCCTCCTCCTCCTCCTCCTCCTCTTCCACCTCCTCTTCCACCTCCTCCCCTCCTCCCCAAACCTTCACGCCGCCCCAAAACCCACACTACGACTCCGATTTCGAGTACTTCCAAAAGGCGGTCATGGGCGGCACGCCTCGTCCAATAGCGGGATTCGTCTCCCCGTCCTCAAAGATTCTCCCACACAAGGGGCGGGGGTGGATGACAGAGGAGGTGCTGTGGAGTATGTCTCTCCTCCACGATCCCTACACTATCCTGCATGACCCTCCCTGCTACACTGGAACAATGCACGACGAGGGTTCAACGACTTTACTGGAGCAGCAGCAGCAGAGTTCGAGGGAATGGCCTGCTGCGTGGAAGCCGCGGCATCAGCACTTCCCGGTGCTGCCTAAGATGAGTCTGACTGTTGGTGGAGTGGCGGGCCAAGGGGAAGAGAGAAGGCCTTGAGTGCTGCTGTGGGAGTTGCTGGAACATCAGGGTCTTCTCTCCTGAGTGGTACTGCATGAGCGTTGCTGTGGGAGTTGCTGGAAAGTGAGAGAAGGTGATGGTTCAGCACTCATCTTGGCATGACCACTTCCTGGTGTTGGCCAAGATGAGAGTGCGCGCTTTGTGGGGTGGCGGAGGAGGGGGAGTTGAGACGGGTGGACGGTGGTTGTGAGGGTTGTTGGGAAGGGGCAACAGGTTGTGCCTGAGCTGAGCAGTTATCTCAACACCAGCACTTCCTGGTGCTGCCTGAGTGTCAGTGTGGTGGAGGGTGAACGGGTGGGGAGAAGCTGACGGAAGTTTTCATGGCAGCTTCATTTTCGTGGGCTGCTCCAAAAGTTGAAGTGGCAGTGTGGGGTGCAGAAGGCAAAAGCCCGACAGGACGTACTATAGATCCAGGAGTGCAGTGTGGACTGATGAAGGGTTGTGTGTAGGGACGTCAATGGTTCCACTGTTCCCCTCAACTATTTCCAACCCCGTTTACTCTGTTCCACATATCATGCAGAAAGGCGTGAATGATTTTTTGTGTGGGAAACTTGTGTGCCATTGTAAACCTACCCATTCTCACAGTTGCTATAACACTTGTTCAGGAAAAATATTATTAAGGTATTCTTTAGTAACCAGCAGCATACAATCTATGTACACACAACTGCCCTATGTACCATCCACGAGGACCCTAACCGCACATTCTCTCATGTACACATTGGGGGTGCTTCCAAAGAGACTTTGGAGCTTCTCATCTCACACTCCCCCTCTCCTCTACCCCTGTAGGAAGGAAGGGAAGAGCCAGTTGGAGAGCAGGATGAGGGCGAGGAAGACTACAGCGTGCACCACCACTGACGGCAGCGAGGTGCGCCAGTTCTGAAACTCCACTGGCTGGTTGTCCCCTGGGATCTGAAGGAAAGGGTACCAATGGGGAGGGAAGGGAGAAGGATATGTAGAGGTTGGGTAGAGCGGAGTCGTGAAATCATGCGCATGGTTTTCAATGGTTGGCTTACTCTGGCTTATTACTCTGGCCTTCATATCAGATCTATATAGACACCACGCCATGCTCAAAACATATGAGCGCATCTGATCTACCACACCCAAATTTATTGGTGATCAAAACGAAGCTGAAGCAGCCTATAACGAGCCTGAAGCAATCCAGGGCGAACCTGAAGCAACCCAGAGCGAACTTGAGACAATCTAGGCTTCATAATGTCCCAAACTGACGATTGGAGAGCAGCTGGAACGTACCTGCAGCAGCATCCCCGGGGAGAGGAGGACGAAGAGGACGGTGATGAACACGAGGCCATACCACGTGAAAAACATCATGCCTTTTCAAGAAAACCCCACGAATAAAGATTCTGTGAGAAGAGAAGAACGAGATACAGCTAGAGCTGGCTGAACGGAGCTCTTTCAAGGGCTGCTGAGCGTTATGCCAAGAAATATATTGCGAGGAGCGAGGACGATACGCAAGGGTAAAACAGGGAAGGAGATGTCGCCCGTATTGAATCTATCAGCGTGGAACGCTGGAGGGAAGAGGGACGAGAGAGAAGAGAAACAGCGGGGAGGGCGGGATGATAGGATGAGGCATGGGACATGCGGTTCGGTTCGAGATGGTTCAGATTCGGTTGGTGCGTAACACAATGCTACACGCGCTTCGTGATTTCCAACGCCGCGACATGCGGCTCGATTGATGCCGCTGCCACGTCGCGGGCAGGCCGAAAGGAGCGTGCATGGCGGTGGTGGTCAGTGCTGACTCGTCTCGATACAAGAGCAGAGAAGTTGCTACGTACCCCATTGTACACGGCATCTGCTGCTTGTCACGGCGGGACGGGAGGACATTGGGTTTGCCATACCAGATTGTAGCATGCTCCGCTTGAAGTCAAAGTGCAGTAGGGTGTTACAGAGGTATGGAATTCTACATATGGAAATTGCATTTTACAATGCTAAAACACATATGGAATTCTAGCTGATGGTATGGTAGAAGGTACAGAATCAACCAACGGACAAGAAGCTACGCTCTTTACGATAGTATCATGAGGTGATTTCAGTTCAGAACCTGAATCAGGAAATTTCTGTCAACAGTCTAGTCGGGGCTGGCGGGCTGGCAGGCTTGCCGGCTGGCAGTCTTGCGGTACAAAATCGTAATATAGCCGGGCTAGATCAACATTCTACTGTAAGCATTTAAAAGTTCAAGAAGGGTCTTGCTGGCTGAGAAACAGCATGCAGGGGGGTTTGTGCATAAGCAAAGCGCATTTTCTAGCAGCATCAGCTGTTTCAAGGTGCATTATATACAGGAAAGCACTGTACAAACACTACTTATTATCTACAGACACTGAATTTCACTGCATCGATAGACAAAATTGCAGATTGCCCACTAACAATGCTGTCGTTCTATCCCAACATTCAGCAGCAGCACCACAACTACCACACATCCTCTAATCATGCTTCTGACCACCACCGCCAGGGCTGATTTTATCAGGGTAATTACCCTGATTTCAGGGTGATTTCAGACTTGTCACTTTCTGGACCCTGAGAAATCAGGTTTTTCACATTTTGGTCCCTGATGCATTCAGAGTATTGCTTTAGCGGACCCTGAAATTTTGTGTACACTCTCAGTGTAGGGTTTTCACGGACCCTGTCAATACAGAGTACGAGGCCTGTGGACCCTGAATGCGATGTTATCGGGGCGAAGTTTCTCGGAATTTTCCTCCTGATAACCCCTTCGCATTGATTTCAGTGCCCCCCACGTGCGTAATCCTCCCCCCCCCCCCCCCCCCCCCCCCCCCCCCCCCCCTCGCTTTATCGAGACGAAGTTTCTTCGAAGTTTCGTTCCCATACACCCACCATCTAGATCGGGCGAACCTGTAATGTCAGATTTTAGGTTGCTGTTATTGGTCGAAATTGATGTGCTCTAACACAGCGCCAGTCACATCGCCACAGTGCCAGTCACATCGCCACAGATGTCCTGAGTGAGTGAGACTTCTGTCCTCGGTAAAGAAAGAGCGCGTTACTACGACCCTGATTTTCAATTCTCGACCCTGAACATTCAGAGTTCACTACTTCTCAACCCTGAGCAATCAGGGTGCTGTTTTTCTGGAAAATGTGCCTTTCAGGGTTTTTTTTTTTTTTTTTTAGGTTGAAATCAGGGTACCTAAATTTGAAAAGTCAGCCCTGACCAACGCCAGCAGCACTGGAGAAGTACCGTAATACTCATCAATCAGAAGCAGCAAGATGAACACCACTGCATGCACCAACACTGACCGATGATTATCATCCTATGACACTTCCCACTGCCGCCACCCCCAACAACAAAGTTTGATCATCTAATCATGTTTTCCCCCACCACCGCCGCCAGCAGCACTGGAGAAGTAATACTCATCAATGAGAAGCAGCAAGATGAAGAACACCACTGCATGCACCAACACTGACGCCAGGGACGTGCGCCAGTTGCGGAACTCTATTGGCTGCGTATCGCCTGGAATCTGAGACGAAACAAAGAGAGAGAAAGAAAGGTAGAGGAAAACGGATGGGGAGTGAATAAGGGAAGATAAGAGAAACGGTGGGGTGTGAGGTAAGATTGGAGACTCTGCAAGCGGAAAATTCAGATAAGCATGAGTACATACACGTGGATGGTATCTGACAGAACGAGACACGCAACACAAACATGCTGTTACATCCATCTTCTCCAGCACCGCACAGACAGTACCTGAAGCAGCAGCCCGGGAGATAGCACGATGAAGAGCACGACGATGAGGAGCAGAGTTAGCCAGCTGAGATCCATGATAGCGGTATTGTGCAAATGCGCCGTGAATATCTCAGTCACCAGTGTTATGGTTACGCTGACGTGTCACAGAAGATTAATCCCCTCGTTTGATTCGCGCGTGACTAACAAACAGATCCGCAAGCTCTTCCTCGACTGACAATCCGCCAAAGGATCTCCGGAATCTTCGTCGCGAAGCTGAGCGTCTGCTGGAGCCGAACAGGAAGGAGAGAGCAAGGAGAATGCGAAGCGGGATAAACAGGAGAGCCGACGAAGGGCGTAACGAGCAGAAAGGCCGACGCGGTGATGGCGTGTAGTAGGCGCGGAAGGGGAGACCGACCCATGGGAATGATGGGAAGGAACACGCTACGGGTGCGAGCGAGCCAGTGTGCTGCATGCATGCGGCCAATCCCAGCGCTCTGGATGGAATTTCCAAATAACAGTGCAATATGCGGCTTTAGTGGCGTCGCTGCCACCTCGGGTGCGATGAGAGGAGCGTGCATGGCGGCGGTGACCCTGTGGCGTGACGTGCCACGAGTAGGGAAATGACTGCTGAGTTCCAGCTGTCCTAGGTAGACTAGAATGAAGGTATGGTGCTCGTTCATAAAAAAATTGGAGTCGGATGCGGGATCAAGCCGACATTAGAATCCTCGCTATTAAAGGCTCTTGTTGCGCAGTTGTGGACAACTAGGCTGAGTATATGGCAAGCACGCAAAACCTAGATGGCTAAAGAGGTGGCCACAATATAAGAAAAGATTGTGTTTATATTGACTCCACGCAATTACACCATGAACGAGCACTGAAAATGTTTCTTCTGACACAACGAAGCAAGTGATCTGATCTGATGGCTATGCGGTGAAAGGAATGAGCTTGACAAATCCATCACCGCCACATGTGAGAATGCCATGGGTTGAGGGAATCATATCCATCACACCGACCTGGAATTGAGAATGAGGGGGAGGTCGGGGAACAGAATGGGGGAAGGGAAGGAGGGGTATGAGAATGGGTAGAAAGAATGGGTAGAATAGAATACCACCACATTCACCGTCACCACATGTGAATGCCATGGGTTGAGGGAGTCATATCCATCACACCGACCTGCCATTCAAGCACAGAGGGGCGGGGCAAGAAAATCGGGAGGAGGGGTAAGGATGGGCAACCGAGCACCCACATTCACCATCACGATGGGAACCAAAAAGTTAAACCATCAGGTCTGCGCAATGCTTCACTCACTCCCTCGGACACCTCAGGTCTGAGCAACGTGTCCCTCAACCAAATAGTTAACCATCAGGTAAGTGCAATACATCCACCTGCGTGACCAGCACAGCCCACACAGAACACCAACCTGCATCACGGCCCCAAATCCACGGGCATTAAGGAAAGTCCGTTTCTCATGCACACGCGGCCACTCCCTGAGCAGCCGGCAGCGCGAGGCGTCCCACAGCTTCACCTCGCCGTCCTTGCCCGCACTCAGGAACAGTGGCGTGCCGGGCAGGGACAGAATCGCCGACACACTGCTGCTGTGCGCCCTGGGTATGTGCCACAACGCCCTATCCCCATATCCGCCACCACCACCGCTGCCCACTGCCCCACTGCCTGCACCGCCGCCGCTGCTGCCACTGCCGCCACCGCCGCTGCCGCTGTTGTTGTTGTTTCTGCTTCCGTCTTTGTTGCCCCCTCCTCCGCCGCCTTTGCGGCCGCTCTTCCCGCTGGCAATGAACCGGAAGTCATGCACCGAGATGTCCCCACCCTTGCCGCCCGTCACGATCAGCGAATGAGACGCCGACAGCTGTCCTCCTCCCCCTCCACCGGTGCCGCCTCCTGCTACTCCCCGTGCTGCTGCTGCTCCTCCCCCGGTGCTCCCTGTGGCGGCGGCAGGGATTGTGTTGTCGACAATGGCAATGCTGGTGGCACCACCTGCAGTGGGACGATGTGGGAGGACATGAGTGGGGAGATTATGGTGAGAAGGAGGATACACGGTGGAGAAAAAAGGGGCAAATCTGAGAGAAACGAAGATAGGAGCGTTTCTCTCTAATATGTTTGTTTGTTCTTTTATCCATTTGTGCATGGCCGGAAATTCATGCATAAAGGGCGGACTTGCCTTGGTGACAGTTGATGGCGACGCGGGAGGCGTTGGGCGGAGCCAGAGAGTCCCACACGACTAGGTTGTCCTGAGATGGGCTCTGCCCGACTGCTGCTAGCACACTGCTGCTCGCCCCTATGAACGCCACACCACTGCAAGGGGGGAGTGGGGTGTGAAGGGGTGGAGCGGAACAGGGTAGGGCGGGGTGGGGTGGAGTTTGGTGCTGAGAGGTGGGCAGCATGCATGGAAAGCAAGGCGGAAGGACTGAAGGCCACCGCTGCCAGCAGGCTGCTCCTGGGCCAAGAAATGCCATGTCGCTGCATGCAGTGGTCAGGTGGAGAGATGAGAGGGGGGATAGGCAAAGCAAGACCCCTCTCATCTCGCACTCCTCCCAGCAACTCTACCCTCTCTCACCTGGCACTTCTCCCAAAGCAGTGTTTGGTTTCAGTGGGCTTCACGTTGCTGCGCCCGCCCACCTCCAGCTGCCACATCGACACCGTCCCGTCCGCAGGAGCAGCCCATTTACAACCCCATAGCAACGAGCAACCCCTTTGCCACCACCCTACCGTTATCCCTCTCACCTGGCACTCCTCCCAAAGCAGTGTTTGGTCTCAGTGGGCTTCACGTTGCTGCGCCCGCCCACCTCCAGCTGCCACATCGACACCGTCCCGTCCGCAGCAGCGGTGGCGAAGCGCTCGCCATAGCGGTGGAGGGAGAGGGCAGTGACAGAGGGGATGACCAGCGGCACTGGCGTGTTGGCTGCTGGGAGAACGCCGTACGTAGCTGTTGCTGCTGGCGCACCGAACTGGGGGAGTGGGAAGAAGGCATATGGGGAGGGGAAGACAGATGGTGAAGGGGGGGAGGCCAGTGCTTTCCTTCCAGGGGCAGCAGCAGCAGCGGTGGCGAAGCACTCCCCGTAGCAGAGGAGAGAGAGAGAGCAGTGACGGAGCGGAAGACCAGCGGCACAGGCGTGTTGGCAGCGGGCAGCACTCGTACGTAGCTGTTGCTGCTGGTGCACCAAACTGAAGGGGTGGGGTTCATGTGGTGGGGATGGTGTGGTGGAGACGGTACTGGGGCCAAGTCTTGAGGCGCCTAAAAACCCAGGGCAGCCACCCACCTGCCAGAGGTAGACATGCGTGTGTTGGTGGAGCCGACTAAGAAGAAAGGCCTGAGGGGGTGAGGCACCAACGTAACAACACACACCTGCCAGTATCCATCCATGTAACCGCGAAAGCCACAGCACAACACCCACCTGCGAGAGGTAGACATGCGTGTTGGTGGAGCCGACAAGGAAGAAGGGCCTGAGGGGGTGAGCCGCCAGCGCCCTCCCCGCTACAGACTCAGCTGTGGCAGGCGGATCCACATACCCCTCCTCCGCATCCTCCAAATCCTCCGATCCCACCCCCCAACACAGTTGCCAGAGCGACCTACCTGCCAGAGATAGACATGCGTGTTGGTGGAGCCAACAAGGAAGAAGGGTCTGAGGGGGTGAGCCGCCAGCGCCCTCCCCGCTACAGACTCAGCTGTGGCAGGCGGATCCACATACCCCTCCTCCGCATCCTCCAGGTCCTCCCACCCCAATCCCCACGCGCCTATTCCCCCATACCCCGGAATCCCCATCCCCACGCCGCCCGCATAAGACGAATCCCGAGCCGCCGTGCCCCGGACCACCGCCGAGCCTATTGGGGAGAAGGGCGAGGAGGTGTTAGCAGGGTTGTTGCTGATGCTAGCACTGTTGAAACTGCTGCTCCCGAACCCACCCAACCTGCCCACTCCTCCCCCGCTTCCCATGCTCCCGGCCCCACTGCTTCCCATGCTCTCCCCGCTTTGCCCTGCTCCCCCGCCCCAGCCACCTCCACCAGCAGAACCGGGTAGGTTCATGCGGCCGCTAGGGGAGTGGGTGAGGAGGGCGAAGTGGGCGAGAGGGGGCGTGGCAACGCGGCCTGCATAGCTGTCTGCAGGCCAGCAGGCCGACGCCCAGAGACTGTCAAACACAGCAGAGCCAAGGCCGGCTGCAGCAGCATGACTGCCGTAACCAGAAGCACCAGGGTAACCAGGGTAACCAGAGGAAGCAGCAGAGGCACTGAGGTGCCCGGAAGAGGAGGAGGAGTGGGAAGCTGAGGCACTGTGAATGTCAAAGAAAAGCACCCCCTTGCGGTTGGTGGCCACCACTGCTTGCCTCGGATTCAGTGCATTCACACAGACCCCTTCCAGTAACTCTCCCCCCGTTTTCAGCACCTCCAGTGGTTCCCCCAGGGCTGTTTTCGCCCATCTCACACCTGCCTCTTCTTCCTCCTCTCCCCTCTCTCCCCCCTCTCCCCCCTCACCCGACTTGCTATCGCCTGGTTCTTCTCCTGCCCCTCCTTTCACCCTCCCCCCCTGCTCGCCCTCACTCATTCCCCCCTTCATCGCCTGCTCCCTCACATCCCCCATGCTCCCCCCTGCGCTCCCCCACTTCCCCCCTCCTCCCTCCACCTCCTTCTCTCTCCCAATCAGCCCAATCAGGCTCGGTGTTGACACAGCTCTTGACCCCAACCCCCCTACACCAAGACTTAAGTGCACCTCTGTCTGTACTCGCTCCATTCCCCCCCAAGCGCCCCCCTTCCCACCTCTCCCTTTCCCCCCGGCTTCCCCCCATCCCCCCCCTGCGCCCCCCCCAGCTGTCACCTTCCCCTGCCCACCTCCTCCTCCGCCCCAGCCTCCTCCTGCTTCTCCTCCCCCACCTCCCCCTCCCCATCCTTCTCCTCCTTTTCCTCCTCCTGCCGTGGCTGCTGCTGCAGCTGCTGCTGCGGCGGCGGCTTTTCGAGCTGCCCTTTCAGCTGCTGCAACGTCAGCCTCCCTCCTCTCTCTCCATGCTGCCAGCTCAGCAAAATCAAATCCATCGACACCCAGAACGCTGCGCAGCTTGTCCTTAGCGACCACAAGCTGCCAAAGCTTGCCACACGCCCTCCCCCACTCACCCAGATCACATGCCCCTCCCTCCCCCACTCCCTTCCCCCCTTTTCCTCCCACCCCTCCCCTACCCTCCTTCCCTTCATCCTTCCCCCCTCCTCCTGCCCTCGCCCCTCCCACCCCTGTTGATCCCAATCCACTTTTCCCCAAAACGGAAGGTCCCCTGGTAGTACCACCTACCCCAGGTCTACCTCCCTCCAGCCTCCCACCAGCCTTTCCAGCAGCAGCAGCAGCACCAGAAGCACCTCCAGGCCCTTCTACCCCATTACTAGCAGCTTCGATATAAGAAACATCTGCTGCAGCAGCAAGGACTAGAACAGGGCCCGATTCAGGGGACTCGAGCACTGTATGGGGTACGTCAGGGAGCAAAGGGCATGACTCAAGGCCTGTCGGAGCGACACTGCTGAGAGACATTCCTGCTGCCAACCCTCCTGCCATTCCCCCTGCAATTCCTCCTGCGGTGGTGCCTGGTGCAATCCCTGCTTCTCTTGGTGCTGTAGCTGCCGCACTAGCTGTGCCGGGATGTGTGGAAGGCGGGAAGGGTGAGTGCGAGTTTGTGGAGACACCATGGACACCATGGGCAGCATGTGCAGCAGTAGCACCATGCGCATGTGCGTCTGGGTGCGAGGGTATGTTGCCATGGTGCCGCGACATGTACTGCCCATGCTGCTGCACGTGCTGCCCCCCGTGCAGGTGGTTGTGATGCAGCGAGTGTTCATCTGCCAGCCACTGCAGCAGCCCATCCTCTACTGCTAGGGACGCCAAACGTGCATACGCACAAACAGCCTCCTCCTTCGAACCACCATCAGTGGCACCGCCACCAGCACCACCACTGCCACCTGCAGCGACCTGTGTATTCCTCGTAGTCCTAGTATTCCCCTTGGTGGTGGTGCCCACGCCCTGTACTCCTGATGCTGCCCCCTCACGCACGTGCATGCGGGTGCTGACGTGTGCCGCCAGCTGGCGCCTGAGGGCAGACGCCACGCGTGCAGACGCGAGGACCAGCGCGTCAGAGGCTGCTGTAGCAGCACACGCATCTGGTAGGAGCGCCTGTGGAAACAAATGTGCTGGATCCGCTGCTGCCTCTCTGCTTCCCCCTCTCCCTCCGCCTGACCCTGCGCCTGCTCCTGCCCTTTGCTTTCCCCCTCCCGCTGCCCTATCCGCTGCTTGGGCTGCTGCTGCCACCGCCGCTGCAGCAGCTGCTGATGCTGCCCCCGCCATCCCCCCTCCTGCTGCCCCTGTTGGCTTCAGGTATGAGGGCGCGGGGGAGGGAGTAGAGGAGGGCGCGGGGGAAAGGAGGGAGGAGGAGGAGGAAGGGGCAGGGGAAGCAGGGGAGGTCCAAGGCCGGGAGAAAGCAGAGAAGAAAGAGGAGGGGGCAGGTGGGGGCTGCTGCTGCTGATGGTGGTGATGGTGGTATTGCTGCTGCTGGAGCAGCTGGTGTTGGTGCTGGTCAGGGGAAAGAAGGGCATGCGGGTGAAGGTGGGGTGAGAGAGGAGGGGTGGAGAGAGTGGGGGTGGTGGTGCCGCTTTGGGGTGGGCTGTAGGGAACAAAGTGGTGCGGTGGCTGCCAGTGCTGCTGCTGCTGCTGCTGGTTGTGGTTGTGATGCTGGGGAAGGAGGTGGGAGGGATGGTGAGGGTGAGCCGGGGGGGCTTGCATGGGACTGCGTGCTCCCTGCCCCTGCTGCCCCCCCTGCTGCCCCCCCTGCTGCTGCTGAGAATGGCTGGGCTGGCCAAACAAACGACCCTGCTGCTGCTGCTGCTGCTGCTGCAGGTGCTGAGGCTGCTGCGGCTGCTGCTGCTGCTGCTGCTGCTGGTTCTGCAGGTATGACTGGACAGGTGACATCCACCCAAACGACTGGAACGCCCGGCTGATGAGCGACGGAGGCACCGCCTGCTTCCTCACATACCGCTCCACTAGCGACCACACTGACGCGCCCACAACGCGCCACATGTCGTCCTCTGATAGGACCACCACCTGCCCCTCAACAACCGCCCGTCCAGGTCCGATGAATCTGCCCTCCTCATCCCTGCCCCCACTCTCCCCTGCACCCAGCCCCACCTCCTTCTCCTTATCCGCCTTTCTCTCCCCCCCTGCACCATTATTAACACCCCCTCCTCTATGCACCAGCCCCAATCCCTGCTCCCCATCCCCTCCCTCTCCCCCTTCCGCACCTCGCCCATTCCTTTCCAGCCCCAGAAACCAATGCAGGCAATCCTCCCCCTCCCCAGGCAACACAGGCGCTCCACCAACCCCCCCAGCACCCACCCTCCCCCCCACACTCCGCCCCACTCTCTCCCCTTCACCATTTCCCCCAGTTCTCTCCCCTAACCCGCCCTCTCCAACCCCTCTCCATCCTCTCTCCCCTCCTCGCTCCCTCACCACCGGCTCGAGCAGTCGAGCGAGGGTGAGAGGGCGGTGGGACATCCAGGCAGCAGTTACGAAGCAGATGAGAGCTAGAGCAGCCACTACCCGCCCCTCTGCCTCTATCTTCTGCTCCAGCAGGGTCTCTGCTTCGTCTAGTGCCATGTGGGGCGGAATGGGGGATGTGGGGGGTGTGAATGATGGGCTTGATGGGTGGTGCCTTGCACTAGCAGCAGTAGAGGCAGAGGCAGAGGCAGAGGCAGAGGCAGAAGAAGAATGGGCGGCAGCAGCAGCAGAGGCAGCTCGCATTGCTGCTGCACCTTCCCGCCACATCTGCAGGATCTCCCCTGCCACGTGGACCAATCGCAACGCATCCACGCCCAGACCCTCGTCCAGGTAATGATTCAGCAGTCGCTGCTTCCTCTCCTGCTGCTGCTGGGACTGCTGCTGCTGCTGCTGCTGCTGGGACTGCTGCTGCTGGTGGTGTTGTGATAAGTAGCTTGTTTCCCCAGGCCCACAGCACACTCGCTTCACCCTCCACCTCCCACCACCCACCGCCCCTCTCCCCATGACCACCCGTGACAGCGCAGGGGGGAGACTCACAGCTACTCGCCTAAGGATTGCCATGCACAGCTGTGCCCGTAGATCTTCAACGGGGTGGGGCGGATGAACGGTGGAGATTGCATCTGGGCGCGGGAGTGGCCTGGGGATGGCCCACTGTGCCATGTGGGCGGTGACGTGGCATAAGGTGAATGGCTGAGAGGCTGTTACGGCCTGGGAGGATATCTGGAGATTAAAGAAAAGGGAGGTGGGGGCAGGGGGGTGGGGGGGGTAGAACTTAAACGTAAGGGGATGTGTGACTCGGGGGTGGCAGAGGGAATGAGGTAAGTTCTAACATAAGAGATAGAGTAGCTCAGAGGACGCCACAGATGGATTTAGTACCGAACAAATACGGCGGTAAAGTGGTATTCCAAAGGACCGCAGCACCGGAGTGATGGTGGTGTCATGTCATGAATGAAACACATGTTGCTGTAAAGCTGCTCTATTCTCATCTGCTGAAGTGATTTTTGAGGTGCCTCAAAAATCACCTCACAGCACGAGAGTGATAGCGGTGTCATGCACACATGGTGTTGTCAAGAAAACATAGTTGTGAAGCTGCCATGTAATCTTGAGCAAGTATCAGATGGGGCAGTGATAGGGAAGGAGACTCACAGCAGCGAGGGCAGCAGTGTAATCGCTCGCACAGTGCTTCGCCCATGCTTCCACCTCCTCCACCACCTCAAACACACCCATGCTCCCTCCTCCTCCTTTTCCTCCTCCCACTCTCCTGTCTCTCCCACATCTCTTAGCCACTCCATCCGCCACACTGGCAGCGGCAAGGCAGGCAGCGGCTCGCTGCTTCAGCAGCTGTCGCAGCTTGGCGGCTTGCACTGCTGCCACCACTGCAGGCACCACCCATCCCTCCCCCACCACTGCTGGCACAGCCCCTACTGTCTTCCCCACCATTGCCATCTGAGCCATTGCTGTGGCCACACTCAACCCGGCTTCACCCGAACCTAAAGCGCCCTTGCTGCCTGACCCTACTCCCATGCCTCGGAAATCCAACGCCCCACCACTGAAACCACCAGCACCGCTCTGCGCCTGACCAGCACCACTCGGAACCGGACCCAAGCCCCTCTGCTTGGTGATTTCGAGCACAGACTGCAGCACAAGTCCCATGTGGTCCCCCCCACTGACAGCCTCAACTGCTGCCACTTCTGCCAGTCTCTGCACCGCCTCTGTCTCCTCCCCTAGCCCTGGCTTCTTTGCCACTGTGGCGCAGAACGCTGCCACCTCAGCGCCAGCTGGCTCGGCTGCTGACGTGGCGGGGTGGGACGGGGTGAGTGCTGAGCTGGCAGTGTTCGCGGTGGAGGAGGAGGAGCGAGTGAGGGAGGGAGTGTTGGTGTTCTGGTGGGAGGACAGGACAAGGACTTGTAGGGCTTCGAGCTTTTGCCCCATGAGCCACTGTGAAGGGGGAAGACGGGGGAGGGATGGAGCGGCAGGGCAGGCAGGGCATGGCTTAATCTTTGTGGGGAGATATGATGCAAAATGATGTGAAAGGTGTGATAGGTGTGATACAAACGATACAAACGATATCCCTCACATTGAGTGTGCAAATCATCCTGGCATCGCCTTTCGAAACAGCAACCAATAAATCACATCCCTCCACCCCCCTCCATCCCCCTCCACCCCCCTCCACCCCCCTCCACCCTCTCACCTTGAGCGTGCAAACCATCCAGGCATCCCCTTTGGAAACAGCATCCGGCAGCAGCAGGCGCTGAATCACATCCTTTGAATATGCTGCCGCCCCCGCCTTGTCCTCCCTCAGCCGGCACAGCACGAGTGCGAGCTGGGGGTCGTTGAGGTTGCGGGCACACACAGAGGCGGCGGAGGGGATGTCTTCTCCGAGGAGGAAGAAGGTGGCTGCGAGGTCAAAGCGGTGCTGCGACAGCAACACATATGCATTCTTCAGTGCTGCTGCTCGGTGCCGCTCCTCCTGTGAGGATGAATAGTGGGTGGGAATGGAAGCAGGAGAAGCAGTTGGAAGGAGGGGGTAGGGGTGGGGCAGACGGGGAAGTGGGGTATCCGGGGTAAAGCAGTGGTTGGATCGGAACAGCCCTGTTGTTACAGTACAAGGGCTGGGGATTCCTTGAGGGAATGTCGTCTCCCAGGAGGAAGAAGGTGGCTGTGAGGTCAAGGCTGTGCGGAGAAAGGAGCACATACGCGTTCTTCAGTGCTGCTGTCCTGTGCCGCTCCTCCTGTGAGTGTGAACAGGAGGGATGGCGGGGGAAAGCAATTGGAGGGAGGGGCAGGTGTGGGGCAGGAGGACATGGGGGTTAAAAGCACACAAGAACCCTGACCCCGACCCCGACTCTGATTTCGACCCCGACCCTGACCCCGACCCTGACCAAGACCCCGACCCTGACCCTGACCCTGACCCTGACCCTGACCCTGTCCCCCCCATAACCCCCTCAAAAAACCCTCCTAAAGCCCATTTCACGTACTGTGAAGTCCCTCCCCAGGAAATCCACCAGTTTCTTGTCGCGGTCGTCGCGACTCAGCTTGAGCAGCCCGTGCAGCACGGAGCGGCGGTCAAGAACCATGTAGAGCAGCGCACAGTCCTTGGGATCCCGCCTCTGCTGGTACTGCGCCCGTGCTACCCGCTCCATCTGGATTTGGGGGGAGAGATTGACAGAGAGAAGGGAAGAGAAGGTGCACAGAGGAGGGGAGATTTGCATGGGAAGGGACGGGACGGGAAGAGACGGTAAGAGAGGTCTTTTGAGACGTCTCAAAAGTCGGTCCAGCAGTATGTAGAGCAGCGTCCTTGCTACCTGCTGCATCTGATGTAGAGAGGGGCGGGAAAAGAGTGGTATGGTAAGAGAGGTCTTTTGAGACGTCTCAAAAGTCGGTCCAGCAGTATGTAGAGCAGCGTCCTTGCTACCTGCTGCATCTGATGTAGAGAGGGGCGGGAAAAGAGTGGTATGGTAAGAGAGGGAAAGAGATGTAACGGGTGGCAAGGGCGTAGAACCAGCAGCGCTAGAAACCACGACACCACACTCCACCGCACTCCACCACAAGATAGATAGACTTTAGATGGCCATAGACCCACCAGTTGTCTGAGCTGCGTGGTGTTGCAGAGCCAGTACCCCACGCCCAGCGCCCTGAGCCCTGCCCAGGTGGGCTTGTCGGCATCATCCAGGCATGCATTCACGACATCACCCACTGACTCCGTGTGCACCGCCCATGCCACTGCACGTGACTCCAACTCCAGCTGCCCCTCCTGCTGCCCCTGCCCCTGCTGCTGTGGCCCCTGCCCTTGCCCCTGCTGTTGCTGCTGCTGCCCAAGCCCACCTGCACCTGCTGAACCTCCCCTGCTGCTGCTGAGCCTATGGTCAGTGGAAGAGCCGTAGGATGAGGCTGCTGCTCCTGCTCTGGTGGTTGTTGCCGAGGCGGCCTTTTCAGCTGCTGCGGCAGCATCGGCGCGGCGTTTCTGGTGTTTCTTTGATGCACGAGAGAGCTGCAGCGCCAGCCAGAACCTGCAGCAGGGAAGGAGGGCGGGAGTGAAGAGGTGGGAAGGGGGAGAAACTCTGTGGTTGCAGCTGCGACTGCGGCTGTGGCTGCAGCTGCAGCAGCGTCAGCGCGGCGCTGCTGGTGCTTCTTTGATGTGCGGGAGAGGTGGAGTGCGAGCCAGAACCTGCAGGAGGGAGGGAGGGAGGGAGGGAGGGAGTGAGTGAAGAGGGGGGGGGGGAAGGGGGGAGAACTCTTTCAGCAGCTGCTAGTGTTATTTTGCTGCACGGGAGGGGTGGAGCGCGAGACAGTACCTGCAGCAGGGAGGTAGAGAGAGAGGGGAGAAGACAAGCTCGGCTGAGAGGCGAGAGGCTTTCGAAACTAGACTGCACGTGAGAGGTGCAGTGTGTTGACAGCCAGGAGAACGTGTCAGCCAGGAGAACGTATCAGCCTGTGGGGAAAGAATGTAAGGGGAGAGAGAGCAAGATGGGTCAAACAGGGGAAGGGAGGAGGGAGGAGGGAGAAAGGAGGGAGGAAGGGAGAAAGGGAGGGAGGAAGGGAAGGAGGGAGGGAGGGAGGGAGGGAGGGAGGGAGGGAGGGAGGGAGGGAGGGAGGGAGGGAGGGAGGGAGGGAGGGAGGGAGGGAGGGAGCGAGGGAGGGAGGTAAGGACAAGAGACTACCTTTTCCCTGGCTCATCCAGAGCCTTGACTGCTCGTGCCACTGACGCTGCTGCTGCTACTGCTGACGATGATAAACCACCGCCCTCAGGCTGTTGCAACTCCTCCTCCTCCTTCACGCCCACCCCATCCATGGCTGCAAGCACGTCTAACAGTACCACCACCATGCCCGCCTCCCCAGCAGTCAACCCAAGCACACCAGCCACCCGTGTACCACTACCAACACCAGAGGAGGTACCGGTGCTGCAGGTCCCGCCTGCCTCAGATAGCACCTGGAAGATGGCTGTTGCCTCGGCCTCTGTGAAAGGAGCTTGCCCCCCCACCAGCACCCGCTGCTGCAACTGCTGCCACCGCAGCACTGCAGGTGGAACAACGCCACTACCCTTCACTCCCAACCCTCCTCCTCCTCCTCCGCCACTATCAGCACCCTTGCTGCTCTCTCCTGCTCCAGCTGACCCTCTCTTCCCTCCCACGTCCACCTCTTCCCCCTCCTCCTCCCCATCACTGTCATCCAAAGCACTCCTCACGTTCACGAGACTAAAAGGATTATATGCTTGCTTGGACCCTCCACCACCACCACCACCACCACTCGCCCTAGCACTAGTCCCCCCTCCAACGCCCCCACCAACCCCACCAGACCTGCTTCCCATGCTGCTTTCTCCTGTGCTGCTGAACCCAGCAAAGCCCCCTCCAGACCCTCCAAAACCCCCAAAATCCCCTCCAAACCCCCCTGACAAACGCCCAGACGAGGCAGAAGCAGTAGCAGCCTTCGCGGCGGGTGCACTGGAGGCAGAGGAAGAGGCTTCAGGGAGACACAGCTGAGAATAAGGAACACATGGAGAGACGCAAGAACTAGTGAAGGAGGAAGAGGAGACAAGGCAGGTCTGAGAGAAGAAACCCTTGTTCTGCTGCTGACTGTGAGCACTGTGAGCCTTGGCTTGGGCTGCAGCGAGGGAGCGCGAGAGGTGGCGGATGCATGCACGTGCAGATGGCAGCAGCCCCTGGTTGAGTAGAGTCCAGATGACTGTGGGGTGGTAATCTGGGACGACTGATGCCACTGCTGCCACCGCATCGGACAGCAACAGCCGCCCGCTGCCGTCCAGCGCACGAACCAACGCGGATACTTTCACATCCTCCGAACCAGCACCCAGCCCTCCATCTGGAATCTCACTTCCTCCTCCTGCCCCTCCTCCTCCTCCTGCCGTTCCTGTTCCGCTGGTGAACCGCCCCCCACTGCTGCTAGCGTCACGCCTTGCAGGGCTAACCAGGAGACCGAAGTTGGGAGCAGACGGAGTGTATGGCATCACCCGACCCCCTCCCAGCACCCCTGCCCTTCCCCCTCCTCCTCCCCCTCCTGCCCCTGCTGCCCCTGCTGCTCCTGACCCTATTCCTGCTCCTGCGCCTGTCCCTGCTGTGCCTGCCCCAGCCAGAACACTCTGAGCGGCTGCTAGAGCCGGGTCCGAAGCTGACAACGGCAGAGACAGGCGGCTGGACACCCGAGCCACGGGCCGAGCCTGCGCGCCAGCCCCAGACCTGCCGCTTCGAGAGGCGACAACTGCAAGGTCAGTGAGGCTGATGTGGGACATAGAGGTGAGGCTGAGGTGGGAAGTGGCAGGGGAGATCCAAGGGGAGATGGAGAGGGACAGGTCTGCTGCTGATGGCTCTCTGGAATAGGCAAACCCAATCCCAGCCTTGCCTGCTGTGAACCCTGCCCTGACTACTCCTCCACCACCTCCCCCTGCTGCTGCTGCTGATGGAGCCACATCAGCTGCACCAGACCCTGCTGACCCTACGCCTTCCCCTGCTGCTCCGACTGCCACTACTGCTGCCTCGGCTCGCATCACCGGGCTGATCACCAGCAGCTGCTGCCCCGTCCCAGCCAGCAGCAACCCCTGTGGGGCCCACGACAAGCACCGCACGAATCCCACCTCCCCCAGCTCCACCCGCCCCACCTCCACCCACCCCGCCCACCCCGGGGCCTTCCACCCCCCCGCCCCTGCCACCTCCGCTGAATCGCGCCTCCCTGTAGAAGCTTCCTGGATCCTTCCCCCGGACCGATTCCATTCCTGATACACGCTTCCCCGATCCTGACCCGAACCAGCTGCAGCAGTGCCACTGCCACCGCCACCCCCAATACCGGCTACATCATCAGCAGAGCTAGGGGAGCTTAGGGGGCCGGTTGAATTTGGATCAAGGGGCAGAGGAGCAGGGGTGCGGGCGCGTGCAAAGACACAGACCCTAGCTGCGGCAGCTACTGCAAGAAGTGAATGGCCGGTGCCAGGATCGTGCCAAGCCATGAGCACTGCTTCAGCCCCCCCCAACCAACCCAGGGCGCCAGGTTCGGCCGTCGCAGCCCCAGCTGTTGAAGGAGTTATTGGGGCTAGAGATACTTGAATTTCTCCTTCCAGTCGAAAGGATGACCAGCCATGAATAGCAGCAGGAAGCATTTCCCAAAGCGACACGGTTCTTCCTGTTGATAACCCCTGTTCTGTTTCAGTGTCTGCTGCAGCAGTGATTGCTTCAGTTGCTGGTTCGTTTCCTGTTACATCTGCTCCTCCTCCTGCTACTGAAGCGAACAGCGTCCCGCTCGGACATGCGCTGCTGCTTATAACGGGACCGGAGCACACTCTAACGCAGCCAACGCATTCCCAAGCTCCAGAACTGCTGGTCCCTTCCGCTGCTGCCTCGCCGGCTGCTGCTGCTCCTGCTGCAGCTCCTGCAGCTCCTGCTGCAGCTCCTGCAGCTGCTACCGCTGCCACTACTGCTGCTGGTGCTGCTGCTGCTGCATCGTTCGCTTCACAACTCAATGCAACCTCAATTCCTGTCTCCTTCCAAAACCGCATGCAGCCATCGCTGCATCCGACTGCAAACTCATACGGCGAACCCTCCTCCCTCCCCTCCTCGTGCTTCCCCTCGGGCAGCCCAAAACGTGCACCAAACTGCCCAGATCCAGACTGCCCGGATTCAAACTGCCCAGAAGCAGCAGAACTAGCTCCTGTCCCAGCAAGCAAACCGCCAGCCTCCTCCAACCACCCCCTTCGACTCAACATCTCTTGCAACGCCTGCAAGTCAGAAGAGCCAGATGCACCAGCACTACCAGCAGTCCCAGTACCGTCAGCAGCGGCATGTTCCCTTCCTCTCTGATGCGAAGCACCTTGTGCTTTTAGTGGAGACGCCCATATTGAGTCATTCACAGGCGCACAGTGCAGGCACGTGACTTGACGGCTGCTGGGGAACCTGATCACACGTGTGCTTGTCGTTACAGCTGTTATGCCTGCAGCAGCATACGGCACAGAATGCAGTCCATGAGGTGCTTGCTCATTATGCTCGCCCCCTTCGCCTGCTTCCTCCTCTCCGTCCCCTCTGCCCCCTGCTCCATGCACACCCACCAGCCAGCTCACAGCGTTCTCTTCCCATGCTGCTCCCTCTGCTCCCTCCGCTCCTTCCCCTCCTTCCCCTCCCACCCCTGCCTTTCCTTGATCTGTAGTGGTAACCCTAGATTCCGCCTCCCCATCTGTGTGCACGCTCGCCCTTACTTCACCCCTCTGAATGCAAATCTCTACGGCCCACACGCACACACACAGCCCGCCCTGCCCCACGCCCACCACCCGAACCCCCCTCCTCTCTCCTCTGCCTAATCCGGCCAGACCAGCAGCTGTTGAACTCGTCTGAGTTGAGGATGCAGAATGGGCGGCAGAGTGGGGTGTGTGAGGCAGGCAGGCAACACCCAGGAACGGACCGGCTGTAGCAGCAACTGCAGCACCAACAGAAGCTTCCTCTGGCGATGCATTCGGGGCAGTGAGAGCACAGAGCCACCTGCACTCTGCACGCTCCTCCTCTGCATCACCATCATAACCCCCATGATCCCCATGGTGCTCATTCCCCCCTGCATGCTCTCCCTCCCTACCTTCACACACGCGCCTCACTAGATACAGATCCACACTCCCCACGCCAGCAACAGCCAGTACGCTGGCGCCACCTGGCAGCAGCACAGGCGCCCATGCCAGCCGTGCAAAACCCCTCTCATATCCACCTCCTCCACTGCCTGGGACAGCTGGCGGAAGCGACCCCAGCAGAACCCACTCGTTAGAAGCACCTTCTGGGATTTCCGTGAGGAGGGGGAGCCAGGGAGGGGCACGAGGGCCCCACAGGAGAGTGTTACCATGGGCATCTAAGGTAGCGGCAAGAGGGAATCCTGGTGCTGGGTGAACCGCTACCTCTGTGATCGCCCCTCTGTGCCCTGCCAGATGCACGTGCTGACTCACAGACCCCCATGCTGCCCTCCTGCTGCTCGCAATCGCTCCGCCGCTGTTGCCCATGTGACTGCTGCTGCTGCTGTTGTGGCTGCTGTAGCCCATACTGCCATGCTGTGCTGCCCCTCCTCCGACACCCCCTGTTGCCCCATGCCCATCCGTGGAGTTGCCACCAATCCTGCCCCCCAGCTTCCCCCCCGCTCCGATCGCTAGCACGGGTGGCCACAGGCGAGACCAGCGCATGAAGCTTCCAGGCAGCTTCTCTGCGATTTCGACAGCCATTGGAGGGCTCCCGGACTGGCCGGTGACTCTTTGCACGATGGCTGATATGAGGTGGGTTGTGGGGTTGGAAGGGTGGGTGTGATTGCTGTAAGTCTGAAGGTGGGTGTGGTTGTTGTGGTTGAGAGCCTTGTCCTGAAGAACGCCAGTTGCCTGCTGCCACATCATCACGCGCGGACAGCGAGGCGGTGACGTGTCATCCAGGCAAAACACCGCCCAGAGAACCACAGTCCCACGTGGCCCCACGCCAACCAGCCACTCACAGGGCGCCACGTCACCTCCCTGAATCACCTCAACCCCAAATGACCCCTTTCCTCCTGCCGCTCCCCCTCCCCCTCCTCCCACACTCACACTCTTACTCCCATCACCCACCCGAACCTCCTTTGCCCACAGCACAGATATATCCATTCCCAACCTCCCTCCAAGAGTCATATTTCCGTCAACAACAGCGCAGACAAAGAAAGCAGGAGAGGGCGCCCATCTCCCCTCTTCAGATGATTGCCTCTCAGCCCCCTTCCTTCTCTTCTGACCGAACCCAGCCTCCAGGTTCGGATTCTCGTTCTGGTTCCCGTACCTGCTGCTCCCAGGGTGCTTCGGCGAGCTCAATCTGCTCCCGGCCCGGCTCCCCGAACCTGCTGCTCCTGCCGAGCCTCCAGCCTTGGCTCGACTGCTGCCACTGTCAATCTCCATCCAGAGCCGTACTGTGCCATCTTCAGCGCAGGTCAACAGGATCGGACGGTGGTACGGCGCCGAACCTGATCCACCCGTTCCAGCTCCACCTGCACTAGTTGCACCTACTCCAGAAGAAGACAAAGGCTTGGAGGCTGTATCTTGTGGCCTCCACTGGACTGCCAGCACAGGTGCAGGGTGTGGCAGATCAACAACAGACACCGCATCATCGTCCTCTTCTTCCTCCTCATCATCCTCACCATCCTCCTCCGCACCCTCCCCATCGTCATCGCCTTCCATATCCCCCACACCTGCTCCTGAGTCATCTCTTCCTGAAACACCCACAACTCCCTCACTCGTCCCGTTAACCAATTGATGTCTGCTTGCAACCTCCCCATGACCATCACCATCACCACCACCATCAGATGTGGAGCACTGGTCTCCCCAGTAATACCAGACCCTAGCCATACCCTTCGGCCGTCCCCACGCTGACCCAACTCCTCCTCCAACTCCTCCTCCTTCTCCTTCTCCTACTGCCACATCAGCAGTAGCAGCAAACCCATCCGCATGCAGCGAGGTCGCAGCCAGTCCCTGCGCGACACTTGTCTGCACCTGCCACAGACACGTCAGCCGCTGCAGCAGGGGCGCGTTCTGCTGCTTCTTCTTGGAACGATGCCACATGGCGACATTTGATTCGCCGCTGATCAGAAGGCCGTCTGCTGACCCAGTCCAGGCGAGGGAGATGACCTTGGAGGGGAACTGGATCAGCTGAGCAGGCCGCCATGAGAGGGGGATATCTGCAGAAACGAACAGCAAAGCAAAGGGAAAAGGGGTCTTGGATTTTCAAACTGCCTCCTAACCCAGTAAGTCCAGGCGAGGGAGATGACCTTGGAAGGGAACTGGATGGATCAACTGAGAGGGGGATATCTACAGAGACGAGATAGTGAGGAACAGAAAGGGAGAAGGAGGGAGGAGATTGATTCAGGGATATATGCTGCCTTGGAAGGGAACTGAATCAGCTGAGCAGGCCGCCATGAGAGAGGGATACATGCACAGACGAACAGAAGTTGCAGCAGATAGATAATTCATTCAGACTGTCTGTTACGAGAAATGAGAATAGAAGGGTATTGGGTACATGCAGCAGGCAGCTACAAGATGGATAATTATGCACAGATGAACAGGGCGGAACAGGGAAAGGGAGGTCACTCAGACCATCTGTTAAGAACGATGAAATTAAAAAGAGAAGAGACTAACCAACTGAGACTCCGTGACGGGAACGAGATTTGCGAGCAAAATTGTCGGAATTGGCACAAAAGACGTGTATTACCTTGGCAGCTCGGAGCAAAGAGGTAAACGCATGCTCCGTTGGCTGCAGCTAAAACTCCCGCCAAGGTGCTATCCGGTCCTGCCCATGTCACAACGGCTACCTGATCCCTATCCTCCACACATGGCAAGTTTCTTGCAGCTTCCCCTTCTAGCCTCCTCTGATTCGCTGAGAAGTTGGGTAAGACGGGGAATGAGCGGGTCGCGAGATTCACGTCAGCAGCTTCTGGATTGAGCGACGGCGGGAGTTCCAGGACCTGGTGATAGAAACGCGCGCCACGTGGCAGGCTGTCCTCTCGCGCGCCGCTGCCGTGCACGAGCCACGGAGCGGTTGTGATTACAACGCAGCCACCAGCACCGTAAGCCAGCCAGCTGTGACCGGCGAAGCTTCGCAGCCAATCAGCGGCTGCGGGAATGTCGTTCAGCCGAGGCGGGAGAGATTGCTGGGGAGTAAGCTGGAAGAAGAGCGACGCCGTCTCATCCATGGCTGGAGATTGCTAGAATGAAGTTGTACGAATCAGTGTTCAAGATTGTTCGTCCGTCTTGCCAAAAAAAATGCTAAATCTGCTAGACATTTCCTGATGCACTGGCATCATACCGAGACGATCGATTAGGCTTTTCCCTCATGAACAGCCTCGAGGTTGGTTTTGAGAGGGAGGAGAACCCAAGGTCGGTCAGTTCATTTTGAAAAGCACGGAAGGACAAGTTCGAGAGCAGCCATTGAAGAGGAGCCATCAAAATTGTAATGGGAAATGCCTAGTGCTCGGGTTCTGCCAGCATGCTGGTTTTGGAAATTGGTTGCTTTCAGTAGGATTTGTTATCATACTACACTCCATCAGGCGATAGTTTTCTGTTGAAATATTCAGGGAAAATATATATATATCACAGCCACAATACGTAAATTTCTTTTTTATTAAAGAAAACCTTCAGGAAAGTAGAGGTCATTCATCAAATCGAAACAAATTCTGGAGTCTCGATAATAGACTGTTAATAATATATATACTAACTACAAAATCATTACAATGCTTTTCGGCTTAGGCATGTATAAGATCCAGGGCCTCCTATATCACGGTAAAATACCATGAAATTATCATCTCAGGATTTAGGAAGGCAAGCTAGGAACAAGTTACGGAAGTTGAACGAATGGGTTTGAAATAGGAAGAGAAGCGGGATGTACAACCAAGAGGGCAAGGCAAGCAGGGCGCACCATCATTACATGTTACATTACCTACACTACAGTCTGTTATGTTGGGCTGAGAAAGCCCTTAGGATCTTTGCAGGACAGAATTCAAGGGTAGGACAATGTAATAGCGGAAGCGTTTAATAAAAAGACTTGTGAACCACCTTGCGCTAGTGTGTGAGGGCAAAGTTGATTGATTAAAGTAAAGAGATACAGGCTTTTTATAAGAATACAGGGAATATGAAAAGATACGGTTAATAACTGTTTTACTGTTGCTGTTGCGGTTCGATACAGTGTCGACTCGGGCAACTGCTCAGTATCGAGACAGTTGTTTGTCCTTGCTGTCGCGCTGCATTTGTCAGGTCAAAGGTCGCTGACCTTTGACTTTCGCGTAACCTCCAGCAGTTGTTCAACCTCCGAGGGTTGACTCACCGATGTTTCGATACGATCTGCTTCGCTTCTGTCTTGGTGTTTCGACACGACAGAGGCGCTTAGATCAGTTGTTTCCAACACTCCCCTTCGCTTCTGGAGTGTCGCTGCTGGTGACGTGGCTCTGTCCAGTCAGCAGCATGCAATATTCGAACTTCGACTTTCCGAGCTTCTTGGTCAAGTAATCAGCTGCCATCTCGGATGTGGGGCAGTAAGACAGCTCAAGTCTCCCCTTCTCGATCTCGTCTTTTACGAAGAAATATCGCAGGGCGATATGCTTCGTCCTGTTCGCGAATCCATTTTTGTTGGCTATGCGAATTGCTGACTGGTTGTCGCAGAATAGGGAGAAGCTGGGTAACTGGGCCAGCTTCGCTTCCTCCAGAAGTTCGCGAAGGTACAGTCCTTCCTTGGTGGCTGAGCAGAGTGCGATATATTCAGCTTCAGCTGAGGAGAGGGCGATTAATTCCTGTTTGCTCGACTGCCACGAAATAGGTCCGATAGGCTCGAGGCGGTAGATGTAGCCTGTGCGCGAGCGCCTGTTGTCAGGATCTCCGGCGTGGTCGGCGTCGACGTATCCGATAAGCTTGGGCGTTGTAGTTTTGCTCTTGTAGTAGATTAAGCTGATCGTCGGAGTACTAACGAGGTAGTGAAGGGCGCGGTCTAGTGTCAGAATCCCAACCACTAGACCATTGGGATAAAAGGGCTTGTTAAGTAGCGGGTCAGTGCGCCCATAACCCCCCAGGACAACGAGCCTGTAACCCTTCCCTAGGATCAATCGGGGATCACCAGTGGACCTCTGACATCTAGTTCCGCCATGTGTTCAGCTTCAGGCCTTTTGAGGTAGGTGGCGAGTTGGCTTGCGGAGTATGATAGGTCCGGGCGGCAGGTAACGGCTGCGAAGAGAAGGCATCCCAGCTTTCTCTGGTAGTTGCGTATGCCGGCGGGCTTTAGTGGAGCAGATTCTGCCTTGTCGTTTCTTGCCGTGTAGCGGTATGGCGTAGAGATGGTGGTAGGTGTAAGTGAGAAACGTTTGGCTATGGTGTCGGCATACTTTGCAGCGTTGAGGTAGATCGCGCTTTCCCCTTCCTGGATATTAAGGCCGAGATATTGCGTGACGGTAGATGAGACTGTGAGTGTGAGATCTCTCTGTAGCTCCCCTTCGAACCAGGTAGTAACGTTGTCGGTCGATCCGATGTAGAGTAGATCGTCTACGTAGACGATTAATAGAATGTAGTCGTCGCCTTTCGTGAGCCGGTACATGCCTTGGTCGTGAGGTAGCTGCCGGAATTCGATGCGAGTGAGTCGAGCGTGTAGGTACTGCTGCCATAGTCTCGGGGCCTGTTTGATCCCGTACAGGGATTTTTGCAGCTGACAGACTTGATTGGGCTCTCCGTGGGAACCGTGTGGGAGTTCGACGTAGATTTCTGCGTCGACAGGTGCGTAGAGAAAAGCGTTGGCGACGTCGATTTGCCGCAGTTTCTTTTCCTTCATAGCGGCGATCGCGAGAAGAATCCGTAGTGAGGTGTGTCGACTGACCGGGGCGAATGTCTCGGTGAAATCGCGTCCGTGCTCTTGGTCGAAGCCGCGTACGACCCATCATGCCTTGAACTTGTCAATGGTACCGTCTGCTTTCGTCTTCACACGGAAGACCCACTTCCCGGTGAGTATTGTCTTGTTTCGTGCCACGCCGATAGGGACCACTTTCCAGGTGTTGCGCTCCTTCAGTGCTTCGAGTTCTTTGTCCATGGCTTCACGCCATTTTTCCTTATGTTCCCCCCCCAGAGCCTGCTGAACTGTGGCAGGCTCCTTAGGAGTTTCGGTGCCGTGGACCGCGGTGACTAGTCCGAGTATCTGAAGGCCACTCTGTGTGTAGCGGGGGAGTGTTGTGTCCGCGGGATAAGCTGCTTCGTCACCTGTTTCTGGGTCAGGTATGAAGTTGGGCCCTATGCGTTCTGCTTCGTTGGTGTTGACTTCGGCAGGTGTAACGTAACCGGTGTCGGCGAATTCGAAATAGGTTTCGGCGTTGACGCTTTCGCGAGGATTTTCGTCGTCCATCGGGATAGGCACGGAGCAGTATGGGAGTGGTCCTGCTTCTTCCGAGGCGTTATCCACGTTCTGCTTGTCCCAGTCAGCTTCGTCTGCTGCCGAGGCGAAGTGTCGGTCACCACGGAAGCCACCTGTGGGATCCCGATCTTCTTCCAGGTTGGCAAGATATGTAGGAAGGGTGAGTCGTTCGTAGAAAATGACGTCACATGCTGCTACTGTTCCTTTGGAGTGGACGTCGAAAATCTTCCACGCGTTGTAATTTCTTTCGATGCCTAGGTGTAGTCCCCACTGTGCGCGTTGGGAAAATCGGCCGGCTCGTGCAGATGGGGGTCGGTACTGTACCATGCAGCCGAAAACCCTTAACATTTTTGTGCTGCCCTTTTTTCCTGTCCACAGCAGGTGCGGTGATGCGTTGTTCGGTAGTGACGACGACGAAAGCAAGTTGTGCAGCATGACAGCGTGGTCCATCGCTTCAGGCCACTGGTGATTGGGCAGTCGCATGCCACGCAGTAATTTGCGCATGGTGTTCTGGAGAGTTCGATTCATCCGTTCCGCCACGCCTTGCTGTTGATGGGCGTAAGGAAGCGAGATGAGCCTCTTGATTCCTCTTTCTGCCAAGAACTGCTTGAACCTCTGTGAGGTGTATTCTCCTCCACCGTCTGACTGGAAGCTTTTGAGCTTTACGCCCGATTCTCGTTCTGCT